GACGCTCCCAATTTTGACTATTCTAAAAGGAGTGAAGCAAGCTTGCTCCCCACTTTTTCAATTCTGACATCAGATCCATAAACCAAACTCTAGAAAAGATTGAATTAGGTGATAAATTTATTTTGGTTTTCTTATATGCAGATGAATCAGCCTTTCTCTTCACAACTCAAATGGCCCTGCAGTGGCATTTTCAGGCTGTTATATTATACTGTGGAAATATTACTTACTGACATCATTTATCCTAAGATACAGGGAGTGATCTTCACCAAAAGACTTGCTGAACACATTCAGTATTGGATAATAAAATGCATGACTAGTGAACAACCTAATATCATTCAGTATCAGTGAATAATTTTTCAATCTTCCAAAATTTGGAAGAGACAGTGGAAAGATGAAAAGATGGACAGTGGAAACTCTGAGTAGGATGATAGGGCTGTGTTTGTTTGTTTTTCTGGGAAAATGGATGCATTTCCAAATAAAACTCTTCCTTTAAGGATGCCAATAGGAGCAATATTTTTTGAAAAATACTATATTAAAGGTTAAAACTGAATTGCAGCATGCTGGCTTCTTCTTTTAAAAACAAAAGATACAGTAAATAAACAGCTTTGGTAGAACCAATAGCCCGAAGGGCATCAAATAATTTCTGCAGGCATTTATGTATCTGGCAGTTCTCTGTGGCTGCTTGTCTTATCCTAATTATGTATCAATGTCAAAATACTTTTTGGGATGATGTTGTGAATTCGGAGTTTTTCTGAGTTCAGTGGTGTAGATAACTTTAGGTTCCATATTTAATAGTCTTGTGGGAATCAGTCAATGAAACAAAATGACATTAAATTCAGGCAACACAAAGGCAAAGAACTTCTCTGCACCTTGCTTATATTACTTTTAAAGATCATCACACAGATTCAAAGGCAGTAAGCCTAACAGTAAGCTGTTAGCCATGAGAGCTAAATGGAACTTACATTTTCAGAAGTAGTCTGTCTCTAAGGGACCGTTGTTACATAGCAAACATCAAGGGAGAGGTTTGACTTCAGTTTTCCAGATGGCAGCATCTAACTCATTTTAGTTGACCTCAGAAAAAGTAAGCTGCTTTGTACTTGAATGGAAGTCAAGGCAGTAGTCTAGACTGGGAAATTTCCCTCTCCCCCCACTATAAATTCAAAAGAAGGAAAGGCAAACTACTTCAGTGTTGCAAAGAAAACACCATGGACATGCACATGATCAAAACCTTAGACTGTCTACTATTGACCTCACCCCTTTCATAAGAGGTCTGTAGGGGGCGTGCATAAGCACACCAATGTGCCTACCGTCCCTGTCCGATTGTTTCTTTTTTATTTTTCTTATATGTATCCATGTATTCATAACTATGTTTTTACTTATACCTATTATCTTGTAAGCAATTGACAAAAATAAATAAATAAATAAACAAAAGAAACAAAAGAGACGTTATCTTTTATTTTCCTTTGTGTATTTCCCATAATATCTGGCTGGTCACTATGGGAAACTCTAGCATACCAACCCAAAAGCAACTGTTTGTATTTTCATATTATCTCATGGTACAGGAAAGATGAGATGCTGTATCTTTATGAATGATGAAAGATATTGTATCTTTGATGAAAGACAGAAAGAACGAATGACTAACAGTTGGAATAGAATGGACTTATCAGACAATAGAAAGTACAGAAAGGTAAAAACATTACAAATTCAAAATTAGTAGTATCAAGATCTGTATTGCTTATGTAATATAATTTCTGTTCTTTTCCCATGAGATTAGGAAAAGATGGACACTATCTATTTCTAAAGCTCTAGAAAGCAGGACATGAAATAATGGATGGAAAACTAATCATGAAGAGAACCAACCTAAAACAAATGAGATATTTCCTGACAGTTAGAACAATTAACCAGTGGAACAACTTGCCTCCAGAAGTTGTGAATGCTCCAACACTGGAAGTTTTTAAGAAGAGATTGAACAGCAATTTGTCTGGAATGTATAAGGTCTCCTGCTTGAACAGAGTATTGGACTAGAACAGGGGTTACCAACCTTTTGGACCTCAGGGACCACCAAACTCATAATTTTAAATCCCGGGGACCACTAATATGAATTTTCACTGACGTTGGCTTGCTGATGTTGGTGGGAGAGAGAGAGAGAGAGAGAGAGAGAGAGAGATAATCTAACCTTTCGCTCTCCCTCTCCCTCCCCCTCCCACCACCTCTCTCTCTCTCACACACACAGACACACAGAAACACAGACACACAGACACACAAAGGCAGGGGTGGGATTCAAATTTCTTAACAATTGGTTCTGTGGGCTTGTCCTAATTTATAGGTGTGGCTTGGTAGTCATGTGACTGGCTGGGCATGGCTTGTATGTAAATATAAACATTTATGTAAATATTGATTTTTTTTTATAAAAAAGAGCAACTTTTACCCAAAATCAAGCAAAACAGGCAGGCAGATTGAGTTGCTCACAGAATCACAGATTCACTTAGAGATCTATGGTTCTACCATTGGCTATCTGAGTGTCACATAAAATTTGCTAACAAGCAAACTCACAAAATTAACTCACAACACACCATGTATGGAAATATTGATTTTTTTTAACAAATAAAAGAGCAACTGTTACTCAAAATCAGGCAAAACAGGCAGACAGATCGAGTTGCTCACAGAATCACAGAGTCACTTAGAGATTTATGATTCTTCCATCGGCTACCTGCACTGAATAGAAGCTTCAGTCCTAAGGAAGGTTCGGCTCTGCTTAAAAGCAGAACCGAAGATCTAAAGATTAGCTAGAAAACAAGAAATTCAAGGTTTCCTGCTTTCTACCTAATATAAATCTCCTGGAACAGCAGAACAGCTGATGGTTGGGGAAAAAAAGAGAAAAAATAGCAACTTAGTAGGCAAGTTTGCCAGGTAAGGAGTGAGTGGGCAGGGAAGCAGGCCGTGTGGGTGGCACAGCCTTGTGTTTCCATGCAGCCTGGATTAATTGCTTTGGGGGGATGCTCTGGGGGTGACATTTCTCTGGGGACCACCAAAAAATTTTCACGGACTACCAGTGGGCCATGGCCCACTGGTTGGCGATCACTGGATTAGAAGACCTCTAAGATCCTCTCCAACTCTGTTATTCTATTATTGTTATTGATTTATGGACATTTTAAGTGACAGGTAAATTAATTTATACATTGTCTATAAGATACAGTTCTTCATAGAAGAAGCCAGAAATGATCAGGGACCTGTTCTACAATACTTGAGTCTGTCACCTCTATAACTGTCTGGTTTGGTTGTAAACCAACAAGACAGACACAGACTTCAGAGGATAATTAGAAAAAACAATTATTACCAATCTCCCTTCCATCGAGGACCTGTATACTACACGAGTCAAAAAGAGGGTTGTGGAAATATTTACAGACCCCTCACATCCTGGACATAAACAGTTTCAACTCCTACCCTCAAAATGATGCTATAGAGCAGTGCACACGAGAACAACTAGACACAAGGACAGTTTTTTTCCCCCCAAATGCCATCACTCTGCTAAAAATAATTCCCTCAACACTGTTCAACTATTTACAAAATCTGCACTACTATTACCGTTAAGCTTCTCATTGCTCCTTATCACCTATCCCTTCCCACTTGTGACTCTATGACTGGAGCTTTGTTGCTTGTATCCTAACGATTTAATATTGACTGTTTCCTAGTATGATTTGATTGCTTATTGTACCCTATGGCTATTATTAAGTGTTCTACCTTATGATTCTTGACGAATGTATCTTTTCTTTTATGTACACTGAGAGCATTTGCATCAAAACAAATTCTTTGTCCAATCACACTTGGCCAATAAAGAATTTTATTCTATTCTATTCTCTGAGTATCCTGTTTAATGGATCTTTTACTAAAGGGTTTGAACGTTATAAAAGCCAATTCACACCACAGAGTAAATTCATTGGCTCTAATTAGGCAGTGAATTAACTCTGTCTCTAGCCATGCCTATGCTTATATTGATGGCTCACTTTTGGTCCTACACGCATGCCAATGGGCATACATCTTCTAGTCTCTCAGTTGATAATCTGTGCTCTGCCTCTGCCAAACCAAATTGTCTTTTCCCATCATTTAAAAGTGGCACGTGTCAATCACAAGCAGAGCTACTAAAACCCAGCAACTGCCTGCGATTATGTTTCACATTGCACAGTGATTGACACTGCTCCCTTTTCCGTTCAGCTGGATTCCAAATGTAGCAGCCAGACAGGTTGTTTTGTCAGCTGCCCCTTTGGTGATAGCCAGGCCATGCGGCTGCTTCTTTACCCTCTGAGCAGGGACTCTGGACGCTGCAGGGTTCCCTCCACAGCCTCTTTGCTTGACAGACTGTGGGAGTTGGCACATCGCTGGGCCTCCAGACTCAGTGATTCAGTATAGCCACAAGCTGCTGGTGCCCCTGACATCTTTCCTCCTTCCACCTTCTGCCAACAATATCTGAGATTTCAGTGTGATCAATGTAATTTCCCTGAGGAGGGGAAGGAGGCATGGAAGGGAAAACATGTCTGGCTTCACAAGTATTTGCAACAATCTCTCCCCGCCCCCTCTCCGTCTCTCTCCCTCCCTTTCCCTCGGCGGTTAAGTTGAAAGTGATTGTTTCAGTCTGGTCTGGCTGTCACATCTTTTCATCAACAAGCAAAAACGAAGTGAAATACTCTTCACATTCACTTTCACCAAATCCCTTCTTTCCAAACTCAAAGAGGGACACTGTCAAGACACTAGTCTAATTCAGACATTCACCTGAAAATACAGAGAGAGGACAGAAGGGAGTTCCTCCTCCTTTTTCCAGCAGATATAAAGAGGAGCCATACTACTAATCCTCAGAAGGCAGTTTGGGTTTTTTCTGCTTTTCATGGGTCCTGAATCATATGGAAAGCCATACTGAAGGAGACGCGAGCATAGATTTTCAGTCTTCTTGAAGCTAGGCAGTTGGAGCAAGACAAGAATAGACTGGGGTGCCTAACCCCATTGTCTCTCCATTTTGAGCTCACCACACTTTCAGGAAAAAGACTGAACAGAATGACTTTGAATAGTTGATTGAGGAGGTTCTCTTATTTAAAGTTTGGCTTCTTTTTTTTTTTTTTTTAGTCAAGGAATGTTTCCAGCTTATGTTTCTCCCAGCCAGACAAGGAAATTCTGAGAAGGGATGAAATAAAGAGAAATCTGCTCCCCGCCTCCCCAATGCTTCTGAACTGCAGTTCCTTGCAAGTCAAAAGGAGGATGCTGGGACTTGCAGTTCTCCAAAATGTGGGTTGCCTAGGTTCTCCACCATCCTAGGTCATCCACTGATTATCAGTAGTGTTCTTTCCATTCATTATTTTCAATATCTTCCAAGGTGCTAAATTGTCTCTACCCTACAAACATAGTTTAATATGCCTTATTCTACCCCTTTTTACATCACAACAGCAACAGAAAAAAACAGAGAAGAGCAAAGACAGTTGTCAGGATAATTTTCAGGAAGTGAGCTCATTCAGTGAAGAAATAAGAAAAGCCATCAGTTTGGAGTTTGGCAGTGAAATTCAGCAAGAGGAAGAGGCAAGTCATCAGAGACCTGAATGCTCAACTATGTGTAATGAGATCTTCTCTGGAAGAGTTGATTGTAAAAGTATGATCTGACAGCTGATGATAGCCCGTTGTGGGCGAATGAATGACTGCTTCCTGATGATCAAGTAATGATGTTATTAGGGTCATAAGTTGACAAATCAACAATCAGTTTTGGTAAATTATGTGAATGTGTCTGATTTCACTCCATAATTAAATATCTCTTTCACAGTACACTAAAACCCCTTTCTTGAACTCTAGCTCAAAGAACACTTATAATAGTTGCACCTGAAATGCACAAATCTAGAGGAGACAGACAGATAGACAGACAGACAGACTTGCTGCCATCTAATGTTCATTATGCTGACTGATTAAAAAAACCATACTTGGAATACTCTGACCAGTTTTGCTTGCTATGATACAAAAAAGTTACTGAAAATTAGGTAGAGAAGAACAACAAAAATAGCAAGGGGCCTGGAGGTCAAATCCTAAGAAGAAGAGTAAAGAGAACTGGATATATTTAGCCTAAAGAAGTCTAAGAGGAGATATGTTAATAGTCTTCCAATACTTGAAGAGCTATCACAGGGAGAATGCGAATTTACTCTCCCTAGTGCCTGAGAATAGGACATGAACTAATTCTATTCAATTTTTTAGTCCAGCTTGAATTATCTTTAATTCAAGGCAGTGAAACATACTTAATACCCCATCCACCTTCTATTTTTTTCACTCTTGTGAGGTGGCCAGGCTGAGAGAGAGTGACTGGCCCATCTGGTGTAGAGCTTCTTGGTGAAAGTCTTCTGGTCGCCTCTGGCAGCCGTTTAGGGTGGACAGGTACTCTTGCTTCCAATGGTTCAAAGGGGTGTTGTCAAGCATTTGAACTGAATGTTGGGAAGACATCTGCCCTTGTAGAGCCTATTCGTGAAAGTCTGGTGGTCGCTGGCGGCCTTTTAGGATGGACCGGCATTCTTGTTTTCGATGGAGCTAAAGGGCGTTGGAAGGCTGTCAGAATGAATGGTGCGAAGGCATCTGCCTGGGTTGGGGCCTGCATCCGATCGACATAGACAATTCCTGAGATTCCCCAACCCAGGTCTGTTTTGAAGGCATAGGGTGAGTATCTCGGGCCTCTTACTACTTCAGTGTACGCTAAAGCTTCAGGGGCATGTAGACCCAGCAAGAGCAAAATCTTGGCTTCAGGATCTAAGGTGGGAAAGTGATGAGCCATATGCTTCAGGTGAGGTATGTTGCTAGCTACCTCTGGTGTTGCGATGTGGCTGCGGTCATCTGGTATCCCATCCCATTCCAACAAGGGCAGCAGTAGGAACTGGGAACTTCCATCTAATGACTCTATACAGAGTCCAGTAGCTCTCCTACCTGCTGTGCGTCTTGGTGCAGTGCACGTTGATATCGTGAAGTGCACTTCTTCCTTCTGAACATCAAAGAGGTTGAAGAATGCAGACCTGGCTAGTGAGCAATTGCTCTGAGGATTCAGTATTACATTACATCTTCACTGCTTCTTCTGGGTGTCCATCGGGGTAGACTTTGAGCGAGGGGCTGGTGTGTTATTGCACACTGTCATGCAATTGACAGTCACCACTGACTCCGATTATGCTGTTGTGGCGCGCTGAGGCGCATAGTGTGCTTTCGCAGCATGCTGAGGCTCCTTGTTCAAAGGAGGGTTAGGAGTTGTCTGCTGTGGTGGTTCAGAGTCTGCATGCAGAGCAGTTGGGTGCTCGTTGCTGTTGCATAGATGGCATTGCACCTTGGCTGTGCAGTCTTTGGGCGCATGTTTAGAAGATTCGCAACACTTGTAGCAGAATCTGAACTCCCATAACAAATCTTTCCTTTGTTCCAGGGATTTCTTTGCAAACACTTGACAAGTGTTCAGCGAGTGTCGAGTGTTATGTAAAGGACAAAATTCGACTCTCTGTGTTGTAGGAGACTCAAGTTGGGTTGCTTCTGATGAGTTAGTAGCCAAACTCTTTGTGTTGGAAGAGTCGACCTCAGTCTTATGGACAACCATGAAGGGTTTTCCCCTTGCAGTGTGCATAGGTCCTGTGGACAATATATAGTTGCTGTTGTATCTTTTTTCATTCAGAGGACTAACAGCCCTGAGTCCACAGATCCAGGGGTTGTTGCACAATGTTGCCTGGTGGGCCACGAATTCTTCAAGAAGGGTAAAGGGTATACCTTTTTGGTGACCCTTGGCCATGAAGGCCTCAGACAACTGGATCCACTGTTCAATTAGTACCTGCGGTAGTTTCGAATGATTTTGTTTTGCATTTCGGCACGGTCAAGACAAGTGAGTCCCAGTAAGTCAGGATCCCGTTGTGCCGCTCTCAACTGTATAAGTATATTAGAGAGGTCGCTGACCAGATGAGGCTTATTGATAGGAATTTTAGGTAATCTATTGAGACTATCCAAGAGCGTTGATTCTACTTCTGTGGGAGCACCGTACTGTTTGTGAAGTCTTTTCCATGTCAACCATAGGGCAGCGTCTGGGTCATCTAAGTGGGAGGCATAAAGTGCCTTCATTGCTTTGGCAGACCGTGGCCCTAGCCACACTGTCAAGTATACAAGTACTTCATCGGGCTTCAGGCATGCTGCCTGAATGGTGCACAGGAAAATTCTCTTCCATAGCAGATATTCTCCACCTGGCTCGTCAGAGAATTTGTATACACCATTAGTGGCCAAATTTAGCTTTCCTCTCCTTATTGGCAACTCTCTCATCACGGCGATGAGAGTTTATTATCTTTCTACTGTTCTGCTTATTACTCTCTGGATGGGTATAAAGCAGACAGAGAAACTCCACAAAGCATCCATACAAAGTCTTTTTTATTGGTTCACCAGGCATCCTTATCAACTCACAGTTATGATGAGGTTCTTCTTAATGTCCAATCCTTTGCATATTTGCATTATTCTGTAGAAAGATAATAAATTCTCATCCCCATGATGATTGAAGCAGCTGCATGGTAATGGATTCAGGCAAGAGCAAGGGAGCCTCCCCCAACCCAACAAGGGTCAACTCAGCGACCAATCAGGACACAGACATGACCACAAGACATGGACCACATTTCCCAGGATACCCCAACTACATTTACCATGATGCACTCCCCCAAGGGGACAGCTCCCAACTCCCAACCAACCACCCCAAATCCCATTAACTCTAAACTGTCTGGATAGCACATTAGACCTTACTACAGATTAAGGGTTTGCAGTAGATTGCCCAAAAATGAAAATTAAAAAAAAAACCTTCTACAATTAGAAAAAGTTTGTAATTATCTATAGCCCTAGAGCACAAAGTAGAGTAGAGTAGAAAATAGAATAGAATAGAATAGAATAGAATAGAGCAGAGCAGAGCAGAGCAGAGCAGAGCAGAGCAGAGCAGAGCAGAGCAGAACAGAACAGAACAGAACAGAACAGAATAGAATAGAATAGAATAGAATAGAATAACAGAGTTGGAAGGGATTTGGAGATCTTTTAGTCCAACCCCCTGCTTAGGCAGGAAACCCTATACTATTTCAGACAAATGGTTATCCAATATCTTCTTAAACGCTTCCAATCTTGGAGCATTCACAACTTCTGGAGTTGATTAATTGTTCTATCTGTCAGGAAATTTCTCCTTAATTCTAGGTTGCTTCTCTCCTTGATTAGTTTCCACCCATTGCTTCTTGTCCTGCCCTCAGGTGCTTTGGAGAATAGTTTCACTCCCTTTTCTTTATGGCAGCTCCTGAGATATTGGAACAATGCTATCATGTCACCTCCAGTCCTTCTTTTCATTAGACTAGACATACCCAATTCCAGCAACTGTTCTTTATATGTTTTAGCCTCCAATTCCTTAATCATCATCATCACCACCACCATCATCATCATCACCACCACCACCATCCTCATCTGTACACTATTTCCTGCCATTTTATACATGTTAGAAATAACATTTGGAATATCAGCATTGGCAAAACTTGCTTGGAAACATTACCAAAATGATGGTTTCCTTCTAAACATCTTTGCTTCACAAAACATTTAACCTAATTATGTTAGTAATAGTTTTACTTCACCAAGATAAAAATGCATATAATTCTAAACAGTACCCTGCTTATATTCAATTGTAACTTTAAGTAATTGAAAGAGCGTAGGATAACAAGGAAAATGGAAATTGTAGTCATCTAAATAAGCCCACGGGGGTGGGGAATGAATTCAAGAAAAACAAATGTCATTTTGGTGCATACAATAGCTCTGACAGCAAGGAGGGAAGCAGGGAAACCAAAGATCCTTCTGTTTTCATTAACTAATCGCAGCTACCATTACTGTACTATTGTTCTGTTCCTTGCAGACACCCTCCTTACTAAATGGGAAAATATCCATTCAAAACATGAAGAAGGGAGCGGGGGGGGGGACTATCCTGAAAGATGGACAGCTGGATCCACAGTTCAGAGCGATGCTCAGACAACAGGGGGTAATTTGTGCTCTGCATGAGTAACATCCCATTGCTCCAGCACAGTGGAGGCATCCATTAATCTGTAAAGAGATTGCACATGCAAAATCTGTTGTTGTTCCCTACCACTCTCAAACTCTGTTTACACCGAACCTTACCACAGCTCTGCAATGCTACTTTCTCCCTGTTATTTCTTGCTGCTGGTTGCACTGTTGTTACGTGTCATTGAAGAGAGTTTGTCCTGACACTCCCACCTGAATTTTTTCCTGCACATATAATGTAGGGGGCTAGTGTAAATCAATAAGAATGCTATGATGGCCACAAGCCGATGGTTTCTTTGGAAAACTAGCTGCATGGAAGAATTGGCTCTTTTTGTAAAACCAATTTTTCTGTTTGAGAGTATGTGAGAGTGAAACAGTGTGTGTACTAGAATTTTATACAGAATATTCTTTTGCTGATGTCTAATATGAAAATGTTCCTGAATTAGAGTGGGATAGATCAAGAGATAGCCAAGTAAATTTCTCTTCATAGAGGTTCTGTCTGAGCTCTACCTCCTGCTACAGTTCTTTGTACCTAAAGCTGGTCCTAAGTGTTGCAGGATCCTTTGGCCTGAAACAGGATGAAGCATGAAAAGCTCTTTCTGACCAAGGCTTCCTGAGACACTAATAAACACAACAAAACCCCTTCATTTTAGTTCAACAACTGTGAATTATCGTCATTCACAGCCTGTAATGAGTCTCAACCAGTTATAAATAGTCCCATGGAAGTCTGCCAAAGTCCTTCAGAAGAAGTCTGATAAGAAGCACCTTTATCTTTCTTGAAGGGCTGCCAACAACTAAAGTACCAATTAGTCTTTCAAAACCAAATGGAGCACAAATTCACCATGGAGCTTTCAGATTCCAAACCTACCAGACTGAACAACTTTACTTCCTGCAAAGGTTTCTGTCCCTTTGCACTTCCTTTATATCTTATGGGAGGGGCAATCACCTCCCAGCCTTACTCCCAAGTCACCCCTTTTGCCTTAGCTGCCCTTGCTTTCTGGTAGCTCTGCGCAGACGCGCACTGGCAACAGGCTCCCCTTGTTCCTTTGTCTCGCTGCTGTCAAATTCTGGAGACTCCAGAGTCACCACATAACTCCCGGATGGCCCTGGCCCCATCTCTGTATCAGACCCAGGACCATCGTCCGAGTCCTCCCCAGATTGCTGGACTGGCCCATGTTCTTCCCCACTGTCCGATTCTGCTGCAGTCTCCGCAGGCAGCTGGCAGACCACAACAAAAGCATTGACACCTCAGAAAAATTCTATTATTTTCTGTTCTGTTCCGTTCTATTCTGTTCTGTTCTTACTCTACTCTATTTTCTATTCTTTGTATTGGTGCTCTTCAACTCATACAAACCCAACCTCGCACATAGAGTGGGATAGGTTGAGAGTTTGCCAAATAACTTTCACTTCATAGAGGTTCTGTCTGAGCTCTACTTTCTGCTACAGCTCTTTGTACCTAAAGCTGCTCCTAAGTGTTGCATAATCCTTTGGCCTGAAACAGGATGAAGCATGAAAAGCTGTTCTGACCAAGGCTTCCTGAGACACCAACAAACACAACAAATTTAGATCCCAACCACTGAGTCCTTCTTTTTCCAGCACCATTTCAGGTCAACCAAGATTCTCACAGAGTGATTGATTTCACAAGTACTTTGCCATTACAGGGCATAATACTGTATGCCCATAATTAAACAGTGACTATGTTTTCAAGAAATTTAGCACCTCTAACTTAAGACTAGTCTTTGCAAGTGAGACATCAATAAACAATATGAGAAGTTTATAATTGTATGGCTCCTATTCATTTAATAATAAGGAACAAAATCAATAACTGGGGGATGCTTCTTAAGTTGAGGATACTTTGGAAGTTCACCCTTTAGGTACTTTTTTGTGTCCTTCAGAAGGGTGAAGAGGTAACTTTTTTATTCATAGCAATGCTGCTGAGGAGGATGAGGAAACTAGAAGTTTTCCTCATCTTCCTCAGAAGAAGGTTCAAAATTTGAAAAGATATCTTGCATCATTAGAGACCCTTTTTGGATGAAATATAGACCATGTACCATTTCACAGGCTTTCGATACCTCTGACCTCTGGATCATTTATGTCTCTATTTTTTTCCCTGTGGCATGACAGACTACATGCCAATGTACAGACCAGAATTCCTTGCTATTGTGATTGATTGTTTACAGCTGTTCTAGCATTTCAGACATGGCAGCTGCTTTTCAGATGTCTTCAAGCTAGAAAGTCTTTAAAAGTGCTCATTTTACGGAGAACTGGAATGCTGACATAAAATAAGGGGGGGACTGATGGGGGGAAAACCATCAAAATTTAGGTCTAAAAGCTCTTCATTGATCTTAGTCTTAAGGGCAAAAGAAAATGTTTGGCTTATTTTATAAGCTAATTAGGTGTGAGAAAACCTATTTGGCATTTGCTAGGCATAAGCAAAAAAGAAAGTGATCACAGGCAGCATGCTCGATTATGAATCAATAAGAAGCGAGTGATTGGATTAGCTACTTGATCAATGCATTGTGCTAATATATTAACAAGCAAATTACCAAGCAGCTTAGAAAGTAGTCTGCTAACTATAATTGCATTACAAATGGCCATGATTTAATGATCCTTGAAATGCAAGAGGTGATTTATGCAGTCAAAAGACTGGAGGAGGGGAGAAGGGGAGGGAGGGGAAATGGTATGTCCTGCTTTCTGATTTCAAAAAGCAAATATTTTCCCTATCACTTAAGACACTCGAGACTTTCAAAAGCTTGGGATTTA